TTAGGGTATTTAACTAATATTCAGGTGATCAAAAGAAAAAAATGTAAATAACTTTTGTCTCCTGTAAATGAAAGATGATGATGATGGTTTATGGAGCTTTAATGACAGGTCAGGACACTCGAGAAACATTCACTCTCTACCTAACGTAACAACAACGTAACAACAACGTAACAACAACGTAACATCAACAACTTCGGTAGTGGAGGGTAATGTATGTTTTTTCTTTATTGCTATGATGAATGTGTGTGTGTGTGTGTGTGTGTGTGTGTATTAATGTGTGTATGTATTAATGTGGGTGTGGGTGTGTATTAATGTATGTTTGCGTGTGTGTGTGTGTATTTGCATGTGCACTGTATATGTGTGCGTGTGCGATTTTTCTAAACCTATTCCCACATTTATAAAACTGGAGGGAGGGAGAGGTGGGGGAGGAGGGGTGCAAGGCGGGGAGACGGTAGCAGAGTGGGGAGAGAAAACGAGTAGAAAAAGAAGTGGCGGTAATTTGTAAGAATAATGGTGGTCATGTATTTTAATAGAGAGCGGAAACTAAATTAAATGTTTCGTGGATATTTTGGGTCAGGCGCTGGGAGGTTTCACGCGCCGTAAAGGACGAGGAGGAGGAGGTGACTAGTCAAGGAGAAGTGTTGGGGATGGAGGAGGAGGTAGATGAAAAGAAAGGTGTTGATTAAGGTATGATGAAATGAGGGATGTAAGGAGAGTTTGGAGGAACTGTGGTAGTAGGTGAAGTGGTGATGAGTAAAGGTGAAGTAGAGTTTGGCAGATGTATTATACACAACCAACTTGAGTCGAATAGGTGACACAGGGCACAGGAAGGGGGTGGAGTAGGTGGTTGAAGGGGTAGGATATGGATGGTTGACCTAACTATAGAAGGTAACCCGTGGATGGACTGACATGGCGATGGTGATATGGATTGACACGAGAGGCAAGGTGTTCGGGGATTGACCCAGCGTGTCCAGCGAGGGTTCGGGAAAGTAGGGTGTAGGTGGTAGAGGGGATTTAATGTGGAGGAAGTGGTAGGGGAGGCAGGGTGGGGGTTGAAGGGGACGTGTTGTGGTGTGGTGGTGAGCGAGGGCTGCGGGGGGCCCAGGATCCAGCACTGACGCTGGTCCTGGGACGCTGCTTGAAGCCGCGTTTCCTCGCAATGTTATGCGAGCGAGTGGTGCGCAGTCCATAGCGTCGACGCGGTGGGTTCTTCCCCTCCGCCAGCCATTCTCGAGCTGGGTTTTCACTTGTTATTTGCACTATTTTCTCTTTCGTTTAAAAGTTACAAGAGTATAGAATAGAGAAGTGTTAAACCCTTACATAGTTAGCTCAAAGCTTGTCCTGGGAAACAGCAGGAAAAATCGTTACTCGACACCCTGCTTAGCCACGCCACGCCGACCATCTCATCCTGGGTTCAGTTCAGTCATCGCCGGGCGGCAAGACGGAGTGGTACCTTAACGCTCTGTCCCCACCCGAACATGTGATAAACCAAAGGAATCAAGTGGCTAAGTGAGAATTGTTAATTTGTTTAGTGAAGTCTAAGTTGAAGTTCGCATGCTGAGGTAAAATTTGGAGTAGAACAATCACTGAATAAGTGTATATTTCGTTCCAAAACAGCACTTTCTGAAAAACATCTCGGACGCAGAACAAGGTGCGAAAGAGCAGTATTTAAAATCAATAGAACTATACTGATACTGCTTGCGTGACAGGTGATATAGAGAAGTGTACCTTACTCCCTGCTAATCGTGGTTGAGCATCGGAATGTCCAGCAGTCATCCATTGATTTTCTTGAGCAAAAGACGTGTGCAGGAACCTGTCATCTGGGCCCGTGTGAACAGTGCACAGGTTGGCCGTCTACCTGTCCTGACCACCACACCGGTGTACTGTCCTTCACAAACTCCCACAGCTCACCACACACTAACGTTTATAAACACTGTACTCACCTGAACCGCTTTAATCAACGGGATATTTTTAACATTCGGTCTGTGGCTTCCAAAAATCATCTTGATATATATTTTTGTGAGGCATGTCTTTTTGAATTAGTATAGGCTGTTATGGCAGTACCCTAGTATGCTAATCGTGTTTTCTAATTTCCAGTAAAAAAAACAAGCAAAAAAAACTTTATATAAAAACTTAAAACTATATATTGACGAGACTACTGTAATCATTTAATCCGAAAACGTGTATCAGAGATAGTACTGTCGATCGAGCGTAAACTGTGACTGAAGTGCTGTAAAGACAATATAACTCAGGTCAGTCAGCACCGTCTACCACCACCCCCCCAGAGCCCAAGTCTAGTATTGAACCAACGTACCAAGCCAACGTTTGGGACGACCATCTCCTCTCTCTCTCTTCCTCACATCAAAGGTATGACAATTTGCCTCTTACATAATGATATGTTACCTCTATACAATTAATGCCATGTTACGTGACTCGATACAACCCCGAGATTTTTTTTTTTTTTTGGGTGAATCGAGGTTGTATCAAGTTCTTATCTATCTACGACTGGAGTTGCTGGCGCAGGATAGGTAACATGATACACAAGAGGTACAGTCATCAGTAGTTTAGACTTAGATTAGCTTGTGGTCCTGTTATAAAGAAGGAGACAGCAGCAAGAACGACCCACTCCCCCACCTTATTGGCAAGAGGTGAACAGGTAAGGTAATTAACAAATTCTCACAAGTATACTAATTGCAACCCTGGCGGAAAGTAATATTAGGTAATGTCGAATGTCTAAACTTCTGAAACGTCAATAAACATTTTTATGCTGTGTTTCATATCCTTTTGCTCCGTGTGTAACTTTAAGATGAACGGAGGTGAGATACTATCACGGTTAAGCTGTCAATCATGGTAATATCCATTCAAGCCTGAGTTTATTACCCAAGTTATGAGTCGAAGCTTGGCAAGTGATCGTTCCTTTAAAAGCTAAATGGTTATTGAAGAGTTTTATATATGTAGATGTAACTCCTCTCTGAGTCTTCATTTTGTGATATTAGTTAATTCATGACACGAATACCAACATGATATTGAATTTCTATACCACTATACAATATTTTTCTGCCTTAAGTACAGTATATATTTGGGTTACAACGTGACCCAGTTTATGGTAAAGTGATAAAAAATAGTGGATTTTTGTGTGTGTGATTCGCTTATATTTCACGTTAGTAAAGCCTGGCTGGCCCTGGCAAGTGGGGTGAGGCAGACGTGACCGTGAGCCTTGTATCGAACTGCGCCACCATGGAAGGGGAGGGAGGGCGCTAGTTACACCCTCTCTACTGGCAAGTGTCGCGCCATGGAGAGAGGGGATATAAGCCTGCCACAGGATATACATTATTATTAATAGACTTCTGGAATTAACTGCGTAGTATACGACATTTGTCTACAACGAATAACATTTTGACGTAAAAGTTTGTTTATTCGTGAACGTTACAGCAAATTGGTTTTCCTTTAGTTTCTAGCCATTTAAACCTTGGGTATTATGGACTAAACTGTGACCTAGTGTGTTGGGATATCTATATTTTAAACATACTGGGTACTTATATGTTTCTTTAATGGAATCTGTTCAGTAGTTAATAATAAGCCTTAATGATTATATAAAAACGTATAGATAGACTAAGGATGAAAACTAAATATACAAACTAATGAAAAAAAAAACATTATCAGAATGAAGAGTAAATAGAACCATACTTGAATAATGATTGATTTTCTGCTTCTGTTTTCTCTCAAATGGACCTAAATATTATCAAGGTACGAATTTTACCTCTCACCCCTCCCTTCCTCTCCCCTCTCACCCCTCCCTTCCTCTCCCCTCTCACCCCTCCCTTCCTCTCCCCTCTCACCCCCCCTGCCCCTCACCGTGTCTCAGGCAGGTACATCAACATCCCCCCTCACCAAGTACAGCCCTGCCCTCCCCTCCCCGTGTGTACATTATAATCTCCCCTGTATGTTGTGAAACCATTGTACATTATCTGTTCTGTTTTTGTACATTATATCTCCCCGTTGTACTGAATCTCCCCTTATACAGTCTTTATTCTCTCCCCTCAGGTTCACTCTCCTTCAAGGTTCAGTCTCTCCCCAGGTTTACTCCCCAGTTTCACTTTCTCCCCAATTTTACTCTCTCTCCCCCGAGGTTCACACAGCACTCTCATGGTTGGTCCTCTCCCTGTACACCGTTGCCTCCTGTACGGTACTAATCTTCCTGTGTACATTACCTCCAGTGTTCTATTCTGTGTACATCTCACTGTGTACGTGTTCTCTCCTGTGTACATCGTCTCCTTGTACGTGTTCTGTGTACATCGTGTAATCATGTACGTGTTCTGTGTACATCGTCTAATCATGTACGTGTACCCTCATGTACCTATCTCCAGGTAAAGTATCTCTCCGTGTACAGTGAAACCTCCATATAGCGGACGTCTTTCTCCACATGCTCCGTTAAATGAAGTTTCACATCTACCGGACCCTCTATATAACGAACTCTCATCTTTCTAATTACATAGTTCGTTTGATGGAGGTCTTACATCTACCGGACCCTCGATATAACGGACTTTTTCTTCATATAGTCCGTTAAATGGAGGTTAAACTGTACTGTATCTTCTCCTCTCTCTCCTGTCTCTCATCCTCTCCAGTGTATGCTACTCTCTTACCTCCCCTTACTATCTCTTCCATCTCCCCTTACTATCTCTTCCATCTCCCCACTATCTCTTCCCATCTCCACTATCTCTTCCATCTCCCCCCTCTATCTTCCATCACCCCACTATCTCTTCATCTCCCTTACTATCTCTTCCATCTCCCCTTACTATCTCTTCCATCTCCCTTACTATCTCTTCCATCTCCCCTCACTATCTCTTCCATCCCCCCTTACTATCTCTTCCATCCCCTACCACTCTTCATCTCTTCCATCCCTTACTATCTTCCATCTCCCCTCTATCTCTTCCATCTCCCCTTACTATCTTTTCTCCCACTATCTCCCATCTCCCCACTTCATCTCCCTATCCACTCCTTACTATCTCTTCCATCTCCCCCTTACTATCTCTTCCATCTCCCCTTACTACTCTCCATCTCCCTATCTCTTCCATCTCCCCTTACTATCTTCCATCTCATCTCTTCCATCCCCCCTACTATCTCTTCATCTCCCCCTATCTCTTCCATCTCTACATCTCCCTCCCCTCTATCTCTTCATCTCCCCTTACTCTCTCCATCTCCCCTCACTATCTCTTCCATCTCCCCCCTTACTATCTTCCATCTCCCTTCTCCCCCTACTATCTCTTCCATCTCTTACTCTCTTCCATCTCCCCTTACTATCTCTTCATCTCCCCTTACTCTCTTCCATCTCCCCTTACTATCTCTTCCATCTCCTTACTATCTCTTCCATCTCCCCCTACCTATCTCTTCCATCTCCTCACTATCTTTCCATCTCCCCCCACTATCTCTTCCACTCCCCTTCTCTCTCCATCTCCCCTCACTATCTCTATCTCCCCCTCACTATCTCTTCCATCTCCCCTTACTCCATCTCCTCACTATCTTCCATCTCCCCTTACTCTCTCCATCTCCCCCCTTACTATCTCTTCCATCTCCCCTTACTCTCTTCATCTCCCCCTCACTATCTCTTTATCTCCCCCCTCACTATCTCTTCATCTCCCCTTACTCTCTCCATCTCCCCTCACTATCTCTTCATCTCCCCCTCCTATCTCTTCCATCTCCCCCTCTCTCTTCCATCTCCCCCTCCACTATCTCTTCCATCTCCCCCTTACTCTCTACCATCTCCCCCTCACTATCTCTTCCATCTCCCCTCACTATCTTCCATCTCCCCTTCTATCCTTCCATCTCCCCCCTCCTATCTCTTCCATCTCCCCCTTACTCCTTCCTCTCTTCCATCTCCCCCTTACTCTCTTCCATCTCCCCCCCTCCTATCTCTTCCATCTCCCCTCACTATCTCTTCCATCTCCCCCTTACTCTCTACCATCTCCCCCTCCTTCTCTTCCACTCTCCCCCCCTCTCTCTTCCATCTCCCCCCCCTCTCTTATCTCCCCTTACTCCCATCTCCCCTCACTATCTCTTCCATCTCCCCCTCACTATCTCTTCCATCTCCCCTTACTCTCTACCATCTCCCCCTCACTATCTCTTCCATCTCCCCTACCCCCATCTCTTCCTCTCTCATCTCCCCTCACTATCTCTTCCATCTCCCCCTTACTATCTCTTCCATCTCCCCCCTTACTATCTTCTCCCCTTACTATCTCTTCCATCTCCCCCTTACTATCTCTTCCATCTCCCCTTACTCTCTACCATCTCCCCCTTACTATCTCTTCCCCCTTACTCTCTATCTCCCCTCACTATCTCTTCCATCTCCCCTTACTCTCTTCCATCTCTCCTTACTCTCCCCCTTACTATCTTCATCTCCCCTCCTATCTCTTCCATCTCCCCTTACTCTCTCTTACTATCTCTTCCATCTCCCCCTTACTATACTTCTTCCATCTCTTATCTCTCTCCCCAATCTCTTCCATTATACTATCTCTTCCATCTCCCCCTCTATCTTCATCTCCTTACTATCTCTTCATCTCTACTATCTCTTCCATCTCCCCTTACTATCTCTTCCATCTCCTTACTCTCTTCATCTCTCCCCTTACTACTCTTCCATCTCCCCCCTTACTATCTCTTCCATCTCCCCCTTACTATCTCTTCCATCTCTACTATCTTTATCTCCCCCTTACTATCTCTTCATCTCCCCCCTTACTATCTCTTCCATCTCCCCCCTCACTATCTCTTCCATCTCCCCTTACTCTCTACCATCTCCCCCTTACTATCTCTTCCATCTCTACTATCTCTTCATCTCCCCTCTTATCTCTTCTCCCCTTACTCTCTACATCTCTTACTATCTCTTCCATCTCCCCTCTCCTTCCTACCTCTTCCATCTCCCCCTCTCTTCCATCTCCCTTACTATCTCTTATCTCCCCTTACTCTATCTCCTTTCTCTTATCTTCCATCTCTATCCTCATCTCCTTACTATCTCTTCCATCTCATACTCTCTTATCTCCCCTCACTATCTCTTCATCTCCCTTATCTCTTATCTCCCCCACCCCTCTCTTATCTCTTCCATCTCCCCTCACTATCTTTTCCATCTCCCTTATCTCTACCATCTCCCCCTTACTACTCTCTTCCATCTCCACTCTTTCATCTCCCTCACTATCTCTTCCATCTCCCACCCCACACCCATCTCCCCCTTACTATCTCTTCCATCTCCCCTTACTCTCTTCATCTCCCTTCCTCTTCCATCTCCCCTTACTATCTCTTCCATCTCCCCCTTCTCTCTTCATCTCCCCCTTACTCTCTTCCATCTCCCCCTTACTATCTCTTCCATCTCCCCTTACTCT